CCCATCCCATTTCTTCCTCGGGTTCGCCGCCAACAGGCAGCCGGCAGCTCAGATGCGCAGCGTCTCAAGCTTTTGAGGCTCCACTGGTATCGCAGCACAGCCCAAGGGCATTGGCTGACACCAGCCGTTGCACCTTCAGCTGCACCCGCGGCTGCACCAGCCGCTGCGCCCGCTGCCAGCCCGCGCAACACGCCTATCATCACCTCGGAAGAGCCACCGCATGCTATGTCGGAGGAACCCAGCTTTGTCGCTTACAACATGTATCGTTTAACCGACACCTATCCACATCCCCATCCCCATCCAGACCCCCACCATCTTAGCACCCCAGTTGGGGATATACCCCTCGCAGGACACAGCCTATGTCACCCATCTAGGGGAGTGAATCGGCCTGTGGGCCCAGGCCACGCCGTTGGGGATAGGGGTCGGATAAACGATGCTCATACAACCCGTCTCGCTAGATTCAGAGGTCCTCGGCCAGCGCACTAGCCAGCCATTCAGCCCAGTGCCTTTGGACCTGCTGCCTGCCCCTGTGCCCATGGTAGCAAGACCCGTGATACCCGTAGGAGCGCCGGGCCTGGTCAGGGCTGCTCCGCCAGCTGATATTCACGGGCGCACTGAACTCCTCACAAGGGGAGCAGGCGCGCAAGAAGGCCAAACAGGTATGTTCAGTTGTGTTGCTCAGTAGTGTCAACGCCTGTGCTGACGGTGATCCCAGCTACCCGCCGCCGCCGTCTCCCAGCCCACCGCCCTCCGGAGGTCACGGAGCTCCCTCCCGTGGCGTGCCCGGCGCGCGCCACGGGGCACGGCCGGCACGCGCAGCCCTCTGGAGGCCCTCGCGGTCGCACCAGTGCGGCCCGGCCGAGGCCCCCTGCTACGGCTGGGCCGCCTCCTGGCTGAGGGCAGCGGCCGGGGAGCCGCCCCCACCCGGGGCTCTCTGGCGCACCCCCCTGCGGACCCGGTGGCCGCTCCTGCGCACGGGGTCACCCGGCGGGAGGCGCGGCGGCGGGAGCCTGCCGAGCCCGAGGCAGGCAGGGGCCGCTCTTCTGCGGAGCGCTGCGAGCGTCTTTGCTCTCGTGCCCCGCTCTCGCCCGCCGCACGTCCCCCAGCGTTCAGGGGGGAAAAGACTACAGACACAATTTTAATCGACGATCCCCAAGAAAATGGGGGAAAACATGGGAATTGGGCGGGAAGACAAAAACCCAGAAAACATGGGAAAATATAGGGAACCATTTTATTTGTGTGTATTTATTTGTGTGTCCTGGGGCCCCTTCAAACGCGCAATGGAGCCGCGCGCGGACGATGGGGATCGGCCCCCGCACGGCGAGAAGCCGCTGGAGGGAGCCGGGCGCTCAGGGTGTCTCGAGGCTGCCCCGGGAGGAGGCCCGCAGCGCCGCTCACACCTTCCAGCCCGCCCGCTCGGCCGAGCTCGGGGTCTGGCTGGCGGCGGCGGACCGCTCACAGTCTTCTACGTACCAGCATTCAGCCTTTGCCTGCTCTCTGTCTGTGCAGTGCGCACCAGGTGGAACACCCGTCCATGGGACAGCGCCATGGCTGTGAGAGCCCAACTCGGACCGCCATTCCTTCCATGCTCGGCCTACCGCGGCCCGCTCCGCTGGCCTCCTTGCCGCCACGTCGTAAGGCATGGGTGTGGGCAGATCCGTAGCTTTCGTAGCCAGGGTCTGGGACTTCGGGGCCTGCGAAGGTTGCCTCGATGTCGCCGACATGGTTTTGCGGTGTTCTCCAGACTCGGGGTCCTGGGCAACCGCTGTGAGTACCAGCTTCTGTTGCGACAGGTGCACTGCATCTGCGGCACGTGACCCATTGAATTGCTTGACCAAGAGTGGATGTGATGCTTCAGTATCGTTTAACCGACCCCCGTCCCCATCCCTATCCCCTTTGGGACCCCCATCAAATTACCTTCCAGTTGGGGATGCACCCCTCGAAACCCGAAGGCAACGATCTATATCCCCGTCTAGGGGAGTGAATCGGCCAGTGGGGCCCAGGCCACGCCGCTGAGAATGGGGATCGGTTAAACGATACTCCATGCTGCAATGCTGCAGTCTCTAGCCATGCCAATGACAAGGCCGCCTGTGTGGCGGTCGGCCTACGCAGCCGACCCAGTGGACCGGCCAGGCTCAACACAGCTCGTCTCTTCAGTCGGCACTGCGCTACGCCCAGTTCGTCGGTCTGTGCGCGGCGCCATTCATGTTCTGTCTTCCGGGGTTGAGCAATTGCACCTTCTGGACCCCGGGAGGGGTCCGGGGATTGATTGATTTTTAGCGGATTAGGTTTCACCCTTCCCTCGCGACAGGTTCTCTGGGGTCCCAGCCAGTTTAGACCCCTCAGCCGCCTTCGGAAGGGGATATCATGGCCAGGGTTACACGATGCCCGTCCAGGGGCGGCGCAAAACAACCGATCCGCTTCCCCTCATGGGGACTATAACCGCATCCAACAGATACAGGCCGAGTTCGAGAGCGGCAGTGCTGCTCTAGAGTGGCCAGTCGGGTAGACGTCGCCACTTTCAGGCCAGGGCTACGAACAAACTCTCTCAGATTTCATGGCCTCCTCCTTTCAGCACATCACCTGGCTCCCGCTCGACCGCGCACGCGCCTCGGGCCATGGTCTGCGCCCCCCCCACTCCTCTTCTTCCTGGCCCCCCTCCCCAGACCCCCGACTTTGTTTTGTTGCTTGTTGTTTTTGTTTCATAAGGTCGAGCCCCAGAGGTCTCGACTCATTCCCTGGGGCAGGCTCTTTATGCCGAGTTGTTTTTTGATAGTCTTGAAGCCCGCCAAGGGTCCCCAGAGGCCGAAGATATAGAAACACCTCCTGTCGTGCTTTTTCCATGACGCGCGTCTGGTCTTCGGCGCTTGCGACGAGAGCGTGGAAGCCAGGCGGGCGCGATGTTTTTTTTCCTCGTGGCCTTGCAGGCGTGAAGATACCGGGGTCTCGAGCGGTCCTGCTCGCTCGCAGGGCCGAGGCCCTCGGCGGTCCTGGCATCTCTTCACTTCTTCGTGCTGCTTCCCCCTCCCCCCAGCCCTCCTGCGTTGTTGGGCCCTCGATTTTCGAGCAGGGGATCGACTACCGAATCGGTTTGCCGGATGTTTCTGCAGACTCTACGCAGCATGCGTATAATGCTCTTTTGGTCTACGAAGGTTTCCGTGTGTACTTTGGTAGAGTCGACGGGCAACTCATTTTTGGGGTATGTCAATTCCGTAGTCGGTCCCCTACTCCAGCTTTGATTCAGCAGAGCCGCGCCTCCTGCCCTCCTTCCCGCCTCTTGCTTGCTTCTCCACTCCTGCCGCTGCTGCCATTGCGCTCCCTGCCGCATGCTTTCCGCCGCACCCCGCGCACGCCTCGTGCTCTCCAGAGGGAGCTCCGCCTGCGCCCTCCGTGGCCGCACACGCACGCGTGCCCGCGCAGATCTCGGCGCGCCCCTCGAGCAGCTCGTGCCCCCACGAGAAGCGCTTCACCTGCGGCCTGAGTCCGAGCAGGAGGTCGACTGCAGCACTGCTCTGCCCCGAGGTCGAAGTTCTCGCCCACGAGACATGCCCAGACTGTCCTGGGGATCTACGGAGCACTCGCCGTATCTTCCACAGGCTCGACGATAATTGCACCTCTGGGGTGCACCAGTCGGCGGCGAGCCAGGGGGGAAGCGAGAAGGAGAAGGCCTTCTCAGAAGGCGGCAGGGCTTCTCAGAAGCCTTCACGCTTCTGATGAGGTCTTTCGCGCCTTCGGGGAAGGCTCCGAAAGCCTCTCGGACGGCCCGCAGACTTCCGAGCCTTCCGAGAAGGCCCGCCCCCTCCCCCTTCCCCCCCCCGCAGGCTCGCCGCCCGCCGAACCGGATCTGTGGCCGATCTCCCACTCGAGGAGCGGGCGCGCCCGCGGGCGGGCCCGCGCCCCCCACACGGCTCCAGCAGGCCGCGCGCCGCCCCACGGGCACGGCCTCCGCGGACGCGCAGTGCACGCGGCCCGGCCCGCCCACCTGGCGCGCACCCCTCGCGCGGAGCCTTGCGGCCCCATGTCTCGGCGGCTCCATGTCTCGGCGGCTCCGCCCTGGGGGGGGGGGGGCGGCGGCGGCGAGGCCGGGCGGGCCTCCTCTCAGCGGGCGGGGGCGGGGCTCCTCAGAGGCCCTCCCACGTGCTGAGGAGCCGCCTCCGTCGCCGCGGGAGAAGGCTCGGAGAGCTGCCCGGAGGGCCGGGCGCCTTCCAAGCCTGCCGGGAGGGCCCATGTCCGCTGCCTTGGCGCTCTGGGCACGTGCTTGCCGCAGTCTGCAGTCGAAGGGGCTCGTTGCGAAGTGGGGGGGGCCCGCCGCGCCGTCAGCCCTCTCTGCCTTCCCCCTGGGCTTGCCGCCGACTGCTTCGGTTTTTTCCCGGCCGTCCTGCGGTGCTGGGGCCTCGTTTGGAAGAAACAGCGCCCCGCGTCCTCATCCTCATCTTCTCCTCTCCTCCTCCCTCCCCTCCCCCCTCCCATGCTTGCCTCTGCCCTCCGCGTGTGAACCTATTCAACACACCCCTCGCACGTTTCGTGGCTCTTAGGGTGCTCTACCGAAGGCCCCAGTGGCAGGGTTCACATGCGTCTCCCTCACCCAGTACAGCGTTTCGCGGCCCCAAAGGGAGCTCCTCCGAAGGCCCCAGTGGCAGGTCCACATGCGTCTCCCCCACCCAGTACATCGATTCGTGGCCCATAGGGTGCTCCGCCGACGAGCCCAGTGGCAGGGTCCACACGCGTCTCCGCCTCCCAGTACAGCGGTTCGTGGCCCATACGAAGCTCCTCTGAAGGCGATACCCCGAACAGCGGTACTCGCAGCTGCATATGGTTGGGTCCTGCGCCAGGCTAATTCTTTTCTTTCCTTATTCCAGCGTTCGCATCTGCTCGCAGCTGCATATGGTTGGGTCCCGCGCCGGGCTAATCCTTCTCTTTCCTTACCACCCCAGCGTTCGCACCTGCTCGCCCCGCCCGAGCGGGCGCCCTCGCGCCTCTCTGCCCCCTGTCGGCGGGAGGCGGGGGCTGCCCCAAGGTGGACGCCTCCAGCATCACGAACCTCGTCGGAGCCCTGAGCTCCATCGTGGACGCTGCCGGCGTCGCGACGGCAGACAAGAAGACCCTCGTCGCATTCGTGCAGGCGGGGGCGGAGAGTGGGGCCGGGCAGCGCGAGCGGGCCGTTGGAGCGGGGGCTCGTCGTGGCGTGCCCCTGCGCGGCCTGCGGCCCCTGCTGCGTCCTCGGCCAGGAGTAGCTCGGCCAGGGAGGCGGAGGAGGAGGAGGAGAAGGAGGAGGAGGAGGAGGAGGAGGAGGAGAGAGGAGGAGGAGGAGGAGGAGGAGGAGGAGGAGGAGGAGGACGAGGAGGAGGAGGAGGAGACTCGGCCATGCTGAACTCGGACAGCTGACCTCGGTCAGGGTCGGCCGCGCGCAGGGGGGGTCGGGGGGAGGGCTTCTTAGAAGCACCCCTGCTTCTCACGAGGTGCCGCCCTCGTCTACAGATGCAGGGCCGGCGCCTTCTGAGAAGCAGCCTCCTTCGGAGGTGTAGGGCCGGCGCCTTTCCCCCTCCCTCTACCCCCTGGTGCGCTCCGGCGACAGGGTGAACTCGCTCAGGCTGAAGTTTTGATGCTTCGCGCAGGCTCACCAGACCATTCTCGTACAGCAGACGTCAGGCGAGTTGCCCTGATGAGGGACGTGTAGCAGCAAGCGGCCCGGCAGTGACCCGCGTCCGTTTTCGCAGATGTTTCGAAGGATGAGGAGGAGGATGAGGAGGAGGAGGAAGAGGAAGAGGCAACCACTCAACCAGGACAACAATTCAACCAGGACAACAATTCAACGAGGACGACGGCGATACCGCCGCCGCCGACGACGACGACGGCGGTGGTGGCGACGAAGACGACGACGGCAGGAGTCAACCATCAATGCCTTTGCAGATCTTTTGCTCCGGGAGCGTCTTGAGGCCCTCTTGTGGTCCTTTTTGGTGGGCCTCTCGGGCCCTCTATAGGATATCTTGGGGCCCTCTTGGGGCTCACTTGGGGCTCTCTTGGGGCCCTCTTGGAGGCCTTGGGGGCCCCTTGGAGCCATCCTGGACGCCATCGGTCAAAGGAGGGGGGATACTCAAGTAAGGCTCCCCGTCTGGGCCCGATAATTTGCCTCTTGGGGTCCTGAGGCGCTCTTGGGCGCTCTTGTGGCCGTCTTTGGGTCATCCTGGGCCCCTCTCGAGGCCCTCTTGGGCCATCTTGGAGCCATCTTGAGGCCTCCAGAGCCCGTCGGAAGCGAAAAGGCGAGGAGGCAAGCAGCATCGGAAAACATAGTGCATGATTATGGCCTCTAGGAGGCCTCCGTGGGAGACTCGGAGGGCACTTTGGGCCTTCCTGGGGCGATCTTGAGGGCCCCTGGAGGCTTGTTGGATGCCATCTTGAACCATCTTGGGCTGTGTTGAGCGATCTTGGAGGCCATCTTTGGGCTCCCCAGGGCCCTCTTGGGGACACCTGGGGCTGAAAAGTGCACTCGGACGCCTTGCGGGGTGTGAGGGGTCCAGCCCCAGGGTTAGGGGGCAGGGGGAAGGGGTATGAATGTGCGTGCTCGGGTGACGTGCAAAGTGATTCCATGTGTATGCCTCGCCCGCCTGCCGCCGCTACTTCTTCCCCAAACCAGGTGCACCCTTTAGCCTCTGGCAGCGGCTAGTTCCGCCGAAGAGCGCATCGATCGCCGATCATTTACAGGGGGAACTCCCTTCCCGAAGAGGAAGATGAGGTTTGCAGAACGAGCTCGCTAGTGCACTCACGCCCAGAGGGGCTGGTGGGATTGGGATTCGGCCCAGGCCGGGTTCAGCCTGGGCGATCTCAGCTGGCCAAGTTCAGCTTGGCCGAGTTTCGCCTGGCCGAGTCTTTCCCTTGTCTTGCATACTCCAGTCACGCTCGATGGGCCGCGCCGCATTGTACAGGTCGTTTCGCGTGCACATCTTTCGAGTGGTCTTCTGATCCGCGAAGAGGTGGATGAGCGACCCAAGTCAGTGGATAGCCGACTCCATCTCGGTTCTCTTTGGGTCAGAGTTAGGACCTGGAGCCAGACGTCTGCAGGAGTGTGCATGCGCTGTTTTCGAAGGGCGCCCTCGTACCCCCCCCCTGCAGTCACCTCCGCCCTTCCCGCTGCTCACTCTCTTTCCCAATCTCGATTTCTCTCTTCCCCCTCCGCCATTCCTCCCTCTCGCTTCGTTCGCTTCGTGCCAGGCCCTCCCATTCGTGATTCTAAACGCTTCGCATGCCACCATTAACCCAGCTAGCGACTACTGTCTCGCTTACTTTCTGTATGGCCTCGCGATCTGATGTGGTCTGATGTCGTCTGAACGCGTGCGGTCGAATCCGATACGGTCTGGCGTAGTGTCATGCGCTCCAATCTAGCCTTGCTGATCTTCTTTGATGCGCGCGCCGGTTGTGATTTGATTGGGGCCGTCAGGGCGGGCAATGTTTGCAATGCGTAGATCTGCGGTTCCTCGCGTGGCTTCTCCTTTCCCTGCTCCGCCTCCCCCTGCTCCCTTTCGCGCTCGTCCTCGGCCTCTGCCCTCCCGCCGTCAGAGGCTCCGCCCTCTCTCGGTGCAGCCGAGGCCCTGACGCACGGACCGCCTCTGGCCTCGAGGGGGGGCTCCGTGCAGCTCTCGGGGCCGCTGCCGAGCTCTGGGCGGGAGAGCCCGCTGGGTGGCCAGGCCTCCCCGTGGCCAGCGCAGGCCCCCGCGTGCCCTCGATGCCGCGCTGCCCTCTGCGGCCGCGGGAGGCCCGGCCTCCCCGCCTCCGTCTCCGGTGCGGCCCCCGCCCCTCGCTCTCCTGGAGTCTGGAGCTCTCCCCCGCGTGCCGCCGGGGGGCCCGCGAGGTCTTTTCCGAGTCGTCGGGCAGGCCCGCGGACACGAGGGCGGCTCGCTCGCCTCTGCAGGGCGCCCCGCCCGAGCGGTGTCCTTCCGTGTGCGTTCTGTTTTCGGTGCCCCTCGTTCTGCCTTCGTTGCGCCTCTGCTGCAGAACGGCATCAGATCGCAAGTCGTCCGCGGCGTCGCCAGAGCACCATCGAGGCCGCGCCCTGCTCCTCCGTGTCTGACTTTGTTTGCCCGTCTCTCGTTATGGCTCGGTCCGTCTGCGAGTGGTCTCGTCTGGTCAGGTCGACAGATGTGGCCCCACCTTCTAGGGTAATGCATCGTATACCATACGATATGCTTTGGCCGGATGCAGTCAAGTTTTGGCACAGGAGGAGCGAGGGGACGGTTCTCGGCAGGAGTGGGAGAAAGAGTTACGTTAGAACGAAATTAGTGTGGCACCGTTCTTCAGAGACCCTCGCTAGCCTCTCGAGGTCCTCCTCGGCCGAATACTTCTACAATGTTGGGGGCCTCCCAGAGATGTGCGCTTCTCGTGGCGGCTTCTGGGTGGCGTCGGAGTCTTGCGCTAGCTTCTAGCATGCCACCTGACGTCTCAGAGGCCCTCTCGGCTGTCTTCCAGGGCTCCATGTGGCTCACTGGACAGTCTCAGGGCTTTGTAGACTATCTTCGAGGCCTCTTGGACTCCGCTTGGACCTCTCCTGGGGACCGCTCGGGGGTTTGTTGGGGTTGGGAGCCTTTTGCAAGCACCTCAGGACGTTCTGGGGGCCCCCCCGGGGGGCCTTTCTGGGTCGTCCAAGGCGCCTCTCGGACCTTCGTGGACTTGCGGACGCCTCTTGGAGTTTCTTGAGAACCTGCTGAGGACTCTTGGGAGCTTCTTTGGGGGCTTCGTGGGGGCTTGCTGTGGCGTCGTGGGAGCCTCTTGGGAACATGAGGCTCGTCGTCGTCGTCGTCGTTGTCGTTCCTCCATCCATACTCCCGTCGTCGTCGTCGTCGTCGTCGTCGTCGTCGTCGTCGTCGTCGTCGTCGTCCTCGTCCTCGTCCTCGTCTTCGCCCTCGTTCTCGTCGTTGCCCTCGTCGTCGTCGTCGTCGTCGTCGTCGTCGTCGTCCTCCTCACCTTCGTTGTCGCTGTCGTCGTCGCCTTCGCCACCTCCCCTCCCTCCCTCGCCCAGCAAAGGCGCAGGACCAGTCCGACGACGAGGAGGCCGGGGCACCGGACCCCGCGGCGTACAAGTCGCACAGCAGCGGCATCATGGACGTGCTCGAGGAGCGCGCGGGCGAAGCCACAGCAGTCGTCGTCGTCGTCGTCGTCGTCGTCGTCGTCGTCGTCGTCGTCGTCGTCGTCGTCGTCGTCCGTCGTCGTTGTCGTCGTCGTCGTCGTCGTCGTCGTCGTCGTCGGCGGCGGCGGCGGCGGCGGCGGCGGCGGCGGCGGCGGCGGCGGCGGCGGCGGCGTCGCCAGAGGGGGGCAGAGGGCGCAGGGCAGCCGCAGCCTGGGGGGAGCTGATGCCTGAGCCCCTTCCCCCGGAGCCTGCTTCTTGTGCCCTCTAGCTCGGGTGTTGCTAGAAATACCCCTGGCCCAAGGTACCCCCAGGATTCTCGGGGTGGCCCTGACGGCGTTCAGGGCACCCCTTTCGAGGCCCAGAGGGCCCAGGGCTTCCAGAATGGAGCGAAAAGCTGGGGGCACCTTGGGCCAGGGGCACTTCTAGCAACACCCAACCAGCGATGCCATGGAGATGGTGGGCAGCGTGACGATTTCCGCAGGCGCCGTCTGGGAGTCAGCTGCCCGAGGCCATTCTCAGACGTGGCAGCGCGACTTGTGGCGTTACCAGGGTGGTGGGGGCGCCCCCCCGTAGCGGGGGTGATCGCCAATAGCCAATGACTGAAAACGAGGTCTTGGGGAGAGATCATCGAGAGAGAGAGCCAATGACTGAAGACGAGGCCATTGATTCAGACCCATGGCCAATCTGACACCCTCCTCGAGAGATCATCGATATGAAGGGTTTTCCCAAGGGGGGTAATTAGACGACTTGGATGAGTAGGAGGTGGATAATTATCATGATGTAATGATAATGATGGTTAGGAGGAGGAGGACGATGATGATGGTGATACTGACGATGATGATGATGCTACTGCTGCTGATGATTACTAGAATGAGGATGATGATGGTGCTGTTAATGCTGCTGCTGATGAGGATGCTTGTAATGATCGTGCTGCTGATGATGATTCTGGTGATGATGAGGATCATGCTGCTGCTGCTGATGATTATTGTGATGATGACGACGATGACATGACGACGATGACGATGGTAAAAATGATTCTGATGATGATGACGGTAGATGATGGTGATGATGACGACTATGATGATATGAGGATGCTGCTGCTGCTGATGATGGGGATGATGCAGACGATGACGGTTATTACGATGATTATGATGACGATGATGACGACGACGACGACGACGACGACGATGATGATGATGATGATGATGATGATGATGATGATGATGATGATGATGATGATGATGATGATGATGATGATGATGATGATGATGATGATAATGCAGACGATACGGTTGTTCTGATGATGGTGATGATGATGATGATGATGATGGTGGTAGTGGTGATGATGCTGATGATGACGATGATGATGATGATAGTCATGATAACGAGGATGATGAGGATTTTGGTGCTGATGTTCATGATGATGATAATGATGATTCTGATGATGATGCTAACACCGACGATGCTGATGCTACTGCTGCTGACGATTCTTATACTGAGGGTTATGATGGTGCTGATGATGCTGTTGCTGATGATGACGATGCTGCTGATGCTGCTGACAATGATGATGAAGCTTAGGATGATCATGCTGCTGCTGCTGACGACGATGATGATGATGATGATGATGATGATGATGATGATGATGATGATGATGATGATGATGCTGATGATGATGATGATGATGATGATGATGATGATGATGATGATGATGATGATGATGATGATGATGATGATGATGATGGAAGAGGATCAGGAGGAGGAGGACGAGGATTTCGCTTGACAGATATGCGCATGCCCCCCCGCGGGCAGGACCTCAAGGCTAAGGCCGAGAAGGAGCTGTCGGACCTTCGGAAGGCCGAGTCGAACACCAAGCACAACTTCAACATGCCCTGGCCTCGGCTCCCGAGGGCCCGAGCGGCAGCGAGTCCAGACTTCTCGAGGACCGAGGTTTGGTTCAGTGCGTCCGCCTAAGAGCTGGTGGGTCCATGCTCTCTCTCTCTCTCTCTCTCTCTCTCCGTCTCTCTCTCTCTCTCTCTCTTGAGTGAAATTCAGCCCATCTGGCCACCGCGTCTTGGTCGCGGGCCAGAGGCCTCCGAAAGGGCTCTTGGGGTCTCTTCGGGACCCCGATGGGTTCTCTCTGGGGCCCAGAGCCTCTAAGACGTCCAGAGCCCCAGGACGGGGTTCTGGGACCATCTGAGAGTATGCTGGAAGTTTGAGTCCCCAACTGTGCTTCCCAGGCCTCTGGAAGAGTCACGCGAGAAGCCCCAAGAGCGTCCAGAACGTTTTTTGAGTTGGGGTCGGAACCTTTGACAACAGAGTACCCACAATACTCATGCGGCAAATCCTAGCATCTTGGCACCGCAGCAGCGCAGAAGGAAGGAGGCTACGTTTAAAACCCCCGCCAGGTCGGCGCTTTTTCTGAGCTGGCGTGGCTCTTGAACGCCCCCGTCTGGTCTGCAAAACTGTTCTGCTCGTCCTTCATCAGGAAGAGGAGGAGGAGGAGGAGGAGGAGGAGGAGGAGGAGGAGGAGGAGGAGGAGGAGGAGGAGGAGGAGGAGGAGGAGGAGGAGGAGGAGGAGGAGGAGGGGGAGGAGGAGTCCTCTCCCTCACCCCTCCTCCCGCTCGGAAGGCATCCTGGAGGTTGCCTGGGGGCCCTTTTTGAGACCTCACTCCAGCCTTTCTCGTCACTTGTTATTGTTTGTCGTTGTTGTTGAATTCTCATTTCTGAAGAATAATTATGGTTGATCCCCCCCCACCGGTGCAGCCCTCGACGCTCGCACCCTGTTTTTTGGCAGGGAAAGTCTTGATGCTCAAACTGGGCCCCTGGCCCCCGGGTTACAACAACAACGGCTCCCGCCTGAGGCCTCCTCACAATTTAGCCAGGACCCCCGCTCCCGCCCGAGACTTCCTCGCATTTTATTCAGAAATCGCGCTCTCGCTTGGAACTTCCTTGCAATTTATTCAGGACTCGCTCTCCCGGCGCTCTGGAGTCGCGCTCTCGCTGGAGACTTGCTTGAAATTTATTGAAGAATGGCCTTGCGTTGGAATTTCTTGCAATTTGCCCAAGCGCCGCGCTCCCGACACCCAGGCACCCAGGGGTCGCGCCCGTTGTGGCCCCATCTGCATGCCCTTCGTGGCCCCGCTGTCGCCATTTGTGTCCCCCTCACTGTCCTACGTGGCCCAGTTGCTACCCTCAGTGGCCCCATCGTTGCCTTCTGTGGCCCCGCATTATCTGCCCTTCGTGACCCCCGCTCGTTCGCGCTCTTCGTGGCCCCATACGCATTCCCTTCGTGTCTCCGCTGTCGCCCTTCGTGGCCTACTTCGTGCCTTTCGTGGCCCTGCTGTCGTTCTCTCGCTCTCGCTTTCGCTCGTCGTCGCCGTCGTCGTCGTCGCCATCGTCGCCGTCGTCGTCGACGTCGTCGTCGTCGTGGTCGGTCCCCTGTCCGTCCCTCTTGGGGTCGGGTCGACGGTCCGAGGGTCCGCGGCCGCCCCGCCGCTTGTCGGGGACCCGGCCTGCAGGGAAGAAAGGTATTCCTCTCAAAAGGGGTTCGATCGAAGACGACGAGTGCGGGTATCGAGGGTTTGGGAAATACGCGTTATTTGAACACTCGAGCTGATAAGGGCGACCAGTCTTAAAATGATACATGCTTATTGTTGTTGTTGCTGCTGCTGCTGCTGCTGTTGTTGTTGTTGTTGTTGTTGTTAATGTTGTTGTTGTTGTTGTTGTTGTTGTTGTTGTTGTTGTTGTTGTTGTTGTTGTTGTTGTTGTTGTTGTTGTTGAACATTATTTATTCTAAAGAATAATTATTGTTGGGCCCCCTGGTGCGCGCCCCCCCTGCGCCGCCTAGGCCGCAGCTACATTTTCATCATTTTCGTGAGGAAGCCTCAGAAAAGAGGGTGTGTACAGGATCCGGTTGTTTTGTTGTAATCCGCTTTCCCTTGCAAAAAACAATAGAAAATGACATTTCTTGTTCTAATATAATCAAATTTCAAGAATCCCTTGCAAAAAATAAGGTAAAGTGGACATTCGCGCGCGCAAGACGAAATCCTTCCAAAACCTTAGTGTTCGCAGCGATTTTAACATAAAAACATCAAAAAACCAATGGTTTTTCAACAAAAAATTGTCAAAATCTCATCCCGCGCGCTCTTGCGGATTCGTAGGAAACCCAACACTTTTTAAACATTTCTGTCAAACGGGCTTTTGCGAGCAACTTTTTCGAACTTCTGCGACAACGGTTGCGCACCTGCCAGGGCCATCATCCCTGTCAAATAATACCATGCGGGACACATTCGTTTTTTCTTCGCGCGCGCACGCCGAAATCTCCAAAAACCATTGGGCTTCTTAAGAATTTTAGCACCGCGCATCATAAAATCACACGAATCGCACCGTAGGTCCTCGAAAAACACCTGCACGACTTTTCAAAATTTCTACCCGCGCGCGCTGTCCGAATCCTAAAAAAACAAATGGTTTTCCAACATTTATGTTACATGAGCTCGCGCGAGCTACTTTCGCACGCTCTTGCAACGGGGTTCGCGCGCCTGCCAGGGGCCACAATCCCTTGCGGTTGCGCCATAGGTTGCGCCCTCGGCCGCCGAGAATAAAACGTCCCCCTATTGGTTGCGCCATAGGTTGCGCCCTCGGCCGCCGAGAATAAAACGTCCCCCTACTGGTTGCGCCATAGGTTGCCCCAGGAGGCCTTCAAGAGGCCCCAAGAGCCCGCCGTGAGGACCCAATAAGCCCCCAAGAGGCCCCAAGATGCTTCCAAGAAGCCCCCCAAAGCCCCTCAAGAGGACCCCAAGCGGCGCCAGGAGGCTTCCCCCCTTCCCCAAGAGGACCCCAAGCGGCCCCAGGAAGCCTCCGACTGATCACTGGCACATCCGTAGCCATCTCGGATCAAGGTATCGCCTGTGTTCTTGGATGGTCCATGGCTTTGACGGCGAAAGCCCTTGACGAGCAGTATGGCCCGGAGCTGTCGCGGCCTCCCTTGGCCGACTGCGAGAGCCCGTATTATTTGCATCAGGCGCTCGTTGCAAAGGGTATCCAGGTCAGTCACCAGGCGTGCAAGACTTGGTGGGGCAAGTATCGGGTTGTGCCTGGCAAGGTTAGTATTTCTAGCGCCCAGGAGCTGGAGGAGCAGCACGGTTCTGCCATCCGCCACCTGGGCATCGAGTATAATACAGCTTTCAAATTATGCGGGGCGCTCCGACAGTTGGATCCACCACTGTATGTGACAGATCAGGTCGCAAAGATGTGGCTACTGCAGTATTCTTCCAAAGAGACGCTTGTCAAAGTGCAGAACGCTGGGTGTACTCCACGCCAGTGTACTCCACGCCAGTGTAGTAGCCACGGTCGTCCGCAGGCCACGAAGTGAAGTGTCCGAACGTCATAGGGCGGGAAGCTGGGTGTGGGTGGTGGCGAAGAGTCGTGTGGATATTTGGTAGAGCTTGCACTGCCCCCCCACAAAGTGGGGGTATTGGCTGGCGTCGCATGAAAACCCTGGCACTGGTGAGAACACTGAGCGTTCGGGTAAAGTGATTGTTGTTGTTGTTGTTGTTAATGTTGTTGTTGTTGTTGTCGTTGTTGTTGCTGTTGCTGTTGCTGTTGCTGTTGCTGTTGCTGTTGCTGTTGCTGTTGCTGTTGCTGTTTTTGTTGTTGTTGTTGTTGTTGTTGTTGTTGTTGTTGCTGTCGCTGTTGCTGTTGCTGTTGCTGTTGCTGTTGCTGTTGCTGTTGTTGTTATTGTTATTGTTGTTGCTGTTGTTGTTGTTGTTGTTGTTGTTGTTGTTGTTGTTGTTGTTGTTTTCTCATGTGTGAATAATTATTGTTGATCCCCCCTCCGGTGCACATTGTATTTTTCCAATTGAAGTGCCCCTCTCGGAGCTCGCACCTGGTTTTTTATCAGGGAACGTCTTCCTCCTCAAACTGCTCCCCTGGCCCCCGGTTTGCAATAACAAAAACGGTTCCCGCTTGATACTTCTTCGAAATTTACTCCGGTCCCCCGCTCCCGCTGGAGACTTCCTCGCAATCTACTCAAGAATCGCGTTCCCGCTTAAGACTGCTTCGCAATTTGCTCAGGCGCCGCGCTTTTGTCATTCAGGAATCGCGCGTTCGCGCGGGACGTCTTTAAATTTACTTAAGAATCGCTCTCTCGCTGGATACTTTTTTTGCTGATCGCGCAGAACTCACGAAGAAATATATACACATTGTAAGTGGCGTGATCAAAGACGAAGGGGGCGGGTGGCGTCGTCGTAGTAGTTGTCGTCGTCGTCGTCGTCTTCGGCGTCGGCGTCGTCGTCGTCGTCCGTCGTCGGCGTCGGCGTCGTCGTTGTCGTCGTCGTCGTCGTCGTCGTCGTCGTCGTCGTCGTTCGTCGTCGTCGTTCGTCGTCGTCGGTCGCCCTGGGGCTCCGGCGACGTTGGCACGCGCTCGCCCCGCCGAGGCTGAAGCAGTCGCTGGAGGACTGGGCGGGGCCCCGGCCGTCCGCGTCGTCGCAGCGCCCCGCGCAGGGGCCCGCTTCGGTCCGTCTTGGCGTCGGTTTTGGTTTCTTCGGCTGGCCCGACGACGGCTGGACCCCGACGTCCCGACACCCCCGAGGGGCTCTCGCTTCGGGTCCGATCGGGCCGGTTCGGTGCCGATCTTCCGGGACGGGGTGGCGGTCGCGGTCTCTTGGAAGCTCTGCGGTCTTCGCCGTGTTCCATCCGAGCATTCTCTTCGGGTGCAGGGCAGAGGGCGAAATCCGAAATGCCGCTTTGCTGGATCTTCGAGGCCTGCACCTGCAAGGGGTCTGGCAGTGGGCAGGCCTGGCCGGCTCGGCACCTGGTCGGCCAGCAGTGCCGACGGCCCATCTGCTGCGCCGCGTGCCCAGCACCACCCAGGTGGTGACCCAGAGATCAGGCCCACCGAGCTTGGTGCGGCCCGCCAGGACCCCCCCCCTTTGTGAACCCCAGCCTGCTTTCCCTGCGCCACGACGCTCCCCGCCCCGGTTTCGCTGCTGGCCGCAGGGAGAGCGTGGCATTTTTTCACCATCTCTTGCCGCGATTAGTGGCGTACCCAGCGCGATCGGGGGGGGGCGGGGGGGAAGACGGAAACCCAGAAAATATGGGAAAATATGGGGAATCTGGTTATTAGTGTCTATTTTTTTTGTGTGTCCCAGTTCCCCTTCAATCTCTGAGACCAAGGTTGCGAGAACGGTCCACCTCGTGGGCGGCATCTCCGAGCCCAGACTTGCGAGGATATCGCAGGCGAAACTGGCAGGAGCACCTCAAGATCTTGGCATGCGTCAGCCCAGCGTTGCGAGGATGTCTCAAGCGAAAGCGGCAAGACAACTTCCTCATGTTGAGCATGTCTCTGTGCGCTGGTCCCGCGGCTGGAACTAGCCTCTTGCAAACACAAGACTTCAGCCAGCCACGCTTCGTGGGGAACAACGATCAATGAGGATGTGCGAGCGGGAGCGGGAGGACGCGAGAGAGGAGGAACGAACAAGAGGGGAAGGAGGAGAGATGCGCCCTTTCCAACTGGGTTTGACTGGCTGTGCCATGCTTCTGATGATATGGATGACTAAGGCATCTGCGTGCGCTGGCAAACCCGCACGGCCCGGACAACCCCTTGGACAACCCCGCGAGGAATTGGACAGCCACCCCTGGACAACCCTCCCCGGATTTATTTTCCTTATCATAGTAGTGTCGATTAGCGTTTGGTAGTCGATGAGATGACGTCGATGTAGCGTCGACTTGCATCGTCGATTTAAAGCGCCGATGGGCGCCGATCAGCGTCGATTGGCTTCATTTCGCACGAGCGAGCAAGATGGTATGGGATGCACCGAGCGCGCTCCACTACTCGCAAAGTGCCTACTCGCAAACGTCTGAAAAAGCACATGTCTGCTTCGATGTAATGTATCGTAGATCCCCGCGGCGGATCCAGGCCATTTGCGAGCAGGAGCAGTTACTTTGTGAGCAGTGGAACGTGCTCGCCTAGGGATGCTCCCAGGAGTTGCCGCCGAAGTGAGAGTGCTGTGCCAACCCCCTGGGGCGCGGAGGTACCCTCGCCTCGCCCCTCGCAGCCTGGGTCCTCCTCCTCCTCCCTCCTCCTCCTCCTCCTCTTCCTCCTCCCCCTCCTTCTCCTCCTCCTCCTCCTCCTCCTCCTCCTCCTCCTCCTCCTCCTCCGCGGGGCGGCTCGTGGGCGTCACGATCTATGGTCCAGGGTCTGGCCCCCCCTCCCCCCATGCTGGTGCTATCGGGCCCACCTCCCTCCGCGCGATGCCCCCCCCCCCCCCCCCTGTGGGTGTGGTTCACCACTTGCCAACCCACCCCAGCCCAATCCGAAGGCCTCAGTTTGCCCTCAATTTCCAGTGGGGGGGGGTCGGGGAACACTGACAAAACACATGGAACCCGTACCCCCCCCAGCCTGGAATTCGGGTCAAATTCGGGTCTTCGGGTTGGATTGGGGTGGTCTGGTAGGTAGTCAGAGGTGTGGTGCTGTGGGTGTGGCGTGTGTGGCGTGTCACTGCGGTGCTCCAGGAGAGCTCTGGAGGTCGTCGTCGTCGCCTCCGCCGCCGTCGTCGTCGTCGTCGTCGGAGGGCTCCAGAGGTCGTCGTCGTCGTCGTCGTCGTCGTCGTCGCCGTCGTCGTCGTCGTCTTCGTCGTCGTCGTTGTCGTCGTCGTCGTCGTCGCAGTCGTCCTCGTTGTCGTCGCCGTCGTCGTCGCCGTCGTCGTCGTCGTCGTCGTCGTCGTCGTCGTCGTCGTCGTGTCCCCCGCATCCCATCAGGGGGAGGGGGAGGAGCCGAGGGACCCTGGGACCCATCCCATCTAGGGGGGTGGGGGCGTGGGCCTGGAGGCCGGGATCATGTACGCCCGCGCACCGCGGGGCTCAGGGGCGCGGTGCGCGAAGTTTGGTGGCCCAGCAAAGGTCGGCGGCCCGCCCGGGGGGGGGGGGTAAGTGAGAAGGGGCGGGCCTGCTCGGAAGGCTCGGAAGTCCTGGCCTTCTGAGGAGTTTTCTGAGCCTGCCCCGAAGAGACAGACAACCTCTCAGATGGCTGCAAGCCTTCTGAGAAGTCCCACCACCTTCTGAGAAGGTCTTCTCCTTCTCACTTCCTCCCTCGCTCGCAGCCGAAAAAGGGCATGGGCTCATGGGTGCGCTCGGTGTCGGAGCCGTCTGGGGGTCTGAGGTGGCCCAGCACTGGCTACGGCCAACAGGAAGGGTGGGGGCAGGCTCGAGGCGCTGGGTTCGGGAAGGTTTTCTGCCCTTCTCGGTCACCAGGGGCCATTCTCGGGCCCTGGGACCATCAAAAACGGATCTGGGGTGAAAAATTGCTCCAGATGGACCCGGGGAGGGGTCCTGGGATGATGATGAGGAGGAGGAGGAGGAGGAGGAGGAGGAGGAGGAGGAGGAGGGAGCAGGTGGAGGTGGAGGATGGAGGAGGAGCGAGGAGCGAGAAGGAGGAGGGAGGAGATGGATGATGAGATGGAGGAGGAGCAGGAGGCAGGAGGAGGATGAGGAGGAGGAGGAGGAGGAAGAGGAGGAAGAGGAGGAGATGGAGATGGAGGAGGAGGAAGGAGGAGGAGGAGGAGGAGGAGGATGAGGAGGAGGAGGAGGAGATGGAGGAAGAGGTAAGGAGGAGGGAGGAGGAGGAGTGAGAGGAGGCGGAGGAGGAGGAGGAGGCGGAGGAGGAGGAGGAGGAGGGAGGAGGAGGAAGGAGGAGGAGGAGGAGAGAGGAGGAGCAGGTGGAGGTGTGTGGAGGTGGAGGAGGAGCGGAGGAGCGAGGAGGAGGAGGAGGGAGGAGGAGGGAGGAGCGAGGAGGCAGGAGAGGAGATGGAGGGAGGAGGAGCTTGGAGGAGGAGGAGGAGGAGGAGGAGGAGGGAGGATGCGGAGGAGGAGGAGGAAGGAGGAGGAGGAGAGATGGAGGAGGAGGAGGAGGAGGAGCGAGGGAGGAGGAGGAGGAGGAAGAGGAGGAGGAGGAGGAGGAGGGAGGAGGAGGAGGAGGAGGAGGAGGAGGAGAAGGAGGGAGGCGGAGGAGAGGAGGGAGGAGGAGCAGGAGGAGGAGGAGGAGGAGGAGGAGGAGGAGGAGGAGGAGGAGGAGGAGGAGGAGGAGGAGGAGGAGAGTGGATTTGGCCTCATCCCCCTCCTGACCGATTTCTACGGTCCCATTCACTTTAGACCCTCTGGCCGCCTCCAAGGTGGCACAGCAAAGGGTATGGGCTCAGGGGTGCGTTTGGTGGCTTGTGCTCCGTGGTTTGTGACCTGCGCTTTGCGTGCAGAACGCCGAAGTCATTGCCCGTGGTTCCGCGGCACGAGCTGGCAATTTGGTGCAGTGTCGGATGCTCGGCAGCTCTGCAGGCTGTAGTGCAAGCCAGGCGGAAGTGCATTCTCAAGTGCGTTCCTACCCGTCACACCTAGAGGCGTCGCCACGCTTCCCGTGCAGCGGCGATCGGATGCCGAAGAAAAGCTTTTTCGCCAGGACGAAGCCGCCTACAACACGAAGGAGAAGAAGGAGGAGCAGGCCTTTTTGGCCGAGACTGAAGAAACGAAGGCCACGGCCCCTTCCTCGCCTCGCTTCATCCCATGTCTCTTTCATTTCATCTGATTTCAGTTCCTTTGCAGGACCTGAAGCGCTCCTCTGACGTCAGTCCGCCCGGGAGAACTAAGTTGGCAATGGCCCGGGCCGCTTCGCCAAGAACCATCGCCTCAGAAGTAAAGGCGAAAACCATAATGCTGATATAAGCGCCGCCTATCACCGATGGCCTGGTAGTCCTCGAACCGCTGAGGGTGGACACCACTTCTATCACCAACGCTGCTACTGAGCACTGACATGCCCGACTGCCGCCGTCAGTATGCAGTACGAGGTTTCCAGCATTGGCGTGATGCTGGCCTAGCCTCATTTCCCCTCCCCCTCTCTCCCCCTTCTGCCCTCCCCTTCTCTCCGCCTCCCTCTCTCCGTGCCTCTGTCCCGTTCCCTCCCCCTCCCCCGCCGCCTCCGCCTCCGTATCCCCCTCCCTCTCCTTGTGCGTGTGTGTGCACCCTCTCTTCCGATCCACTGTGGGTGGATCCAGCTTCTCCACGCCGCGTGAGCTGGGCCAGACCGCGCGCTCGCCTGACCTGACCTACGCCGAACCGCCGCGCGCGTGGCCGCGATGCCAAACAGTGCGTGCACCCCCTCTCACCTTCTTCCTCTGCCTATTCTCGGGTTGGGTTGGCTCCCTTGTCTTTGAACCCTCTCGCGCACGCCCCCCCCAATCTTTCACCATCCATCTCTTGCCCTCTCCCTCCGCCTCCGCCTTCGCCTCCGCCCGCTCCTCGCTGCTGCCCTCCCGGCTTCCTGCAGAGGGCTGAGATTCGTGGCAGAGGGACGGATGGGCCTTGGGTGCATGTGGGGCTGCGTGCGAACCCATCTGTTGGAACCTTCTTGGGGCTTCCCACATGCCAGCGATGGCGTGAAGCGTGTTTACTGGGGTCTGCCAGGCTTGAAATGTACACTGCGTGCGCATTGGGTGCATTGGGGGCCGTGTGCGAACCCATCTGTTGGAGCCTTCTTGGGGCTTTCCACATGCCAGTGATGGCGTGAAGCGTGTTTACTGGGGTCTGCCAGGCTTGAAATGTACACTGCGTGCGCATTGGGTGCACTGGGGGCTGTGTGCGAACCCATCTGTTGGAGCCTTCTTGGGGCTTTCCACATGCCAATGGTGGCGTGAAGCGTGCTTGCTGGGGTCTGCCAGGCTTGATACGTACACCAGATTTCGTAATAAAGGGAGGGGGGTCTCATTTCGGGGGGGGTCTCTTCCAGGCTATCTTGGAGGGCCTGGGGGGGTCTGGGGACGATGTTTTGGAGGGTTCTCCCACGGGGGAGGTCTGAAATGGCTTGTCTTGGAGGGTCCAGACCCCCTCCCTTTTATTACGAAATCTGGAGTACACTGCGTGCGAGCCCGCTCTCGGGAGCTCGGGTGGGGACTCCCGCGCGGGGGGAGTGAGCTGCGCGATGGGGTGGGCACGAGAGGACGCATGCGCTTCGCGAGCCCACCCACCGGACCCGCTGTTGCCTCAAGCTCGGCCTCTTGTGGGGCGAGCGACACGTGCGAGGGCCTGCAAAACCAGCGGTGGGGGCACCCTGTGCGAGCCCACCCACCGAGGCCTCGGTTGGGGCGCCCCCTGCGGAGTCGAGTCGCGCGAGGGGTGGGTCGGACCCTGGCGCGGGTACCGCTCGCGGGCCCGCACGCTGGGCTGAGATGGGAACGAGCGAACGACCTCCGCTGCGGACAAGCGTCTGGGCCTCAGACCAAGGTGGGTGAGGCCGTGGCCTCAGGATTTAGGCGTGTCTGCACATGCAGCTCGAGACAGACACAAAGTCAGAAGGAGCGGAGGAGGAGCCCGCCGGCACGACCATCCTTCCGGGTCTTGCGGCTCAGCGGCGAGCGCGTGCAGTAGAACAGGGCGCGCGCGAGGAGGATGCAGGATGATGATGATGATGATGATGATGATGATGATGATGATGATGATGATGATGATGCTGGTGATGATGATGATGATGCTGATGATGATGATGATGGTGATGATGGTGATGATGATGATGGTGATGGTGATGGTGATGGTGATGATGATGACGACGAGGCTGCTGCTGCTGCTGATGAGGATGATGGTGATGATGGGGATGATGATGAGGATGATGATGATACTGATGATTTGATGATGATGAGGATTCTGATGATGATGAGGATGATAATGACGATGATGATGATGCTGATGATGATGATGATGATGATGATGATGTGATGATGATTATGCTGATGGTGATGCTGATGATGACGATGATGATGAGGATGAGGATGAGGATGAGGATGATGATGATGATGATGACGACGACGACCACGACGACGACGATGATGATGATGATGATGATGATGATGATCATGATGATGATGATTATGATGATGATGATGATGATGATGATGATGATGATGATGATGATGATGATGGTGATGGTGGTGGTGGTGATGATGATGATGATGGTGGTGATGATGATGATTTGATGATGATGATGATGATGATGATGATGATGCTGACGCTGATGCCGATGCCGATGATGATGATCATGATGATGATGATGATGATGAGGACGATGAGGATGGTGATGATGATGATGATGATGATGATGCTGATGATGATGATGTGATGATGACTATGCTGATGATGATGCTGATGATGATGATGATGATGCTGATGATGATGATGATGATGATGATGATGATGATGATGATGATGATGATGATGATG